GGCGGGCGCCTGCCGCCGGCGCAACCGGCTCCCAACGCGGCGGGTGCAGGTCGCGAGCAACCGGGGTTTTAGTGCGCGGGGCCCGGCTCGGCCCGGCTCAGCTTGTGTCCCGGCGCCAGGGGCAGCGCGGCCCCGCCTGTGCCCTGCGCGCTGCTCTGCCGCCTCCGCTGTCTGCTCCCTGCCCTATGGGCCTGATCTCCTGCTCCGCTGTTTGCTCCCTGCCCCCCCGCCACTGTCTGCTGCTTTGCTTTTTACTCCCAACCCTGTGCTCCCCGCCCGCTCTGCTGCTTCTCTTGCTGCTTCCCACCCGATCTGGTGCTCTGCTTTCTGCCCCTCTCTCCACCGATCTATCTGCTGCTCTGCTTTCTGCTCTCTTTCCTGTGGTCATTTATCAACATGCTGCTCTGCTTTCTGCTTCTCTGCTGCCTGTCCTCTCCCGAGTCCGCCACACTCACACTTGTGGTGTCTGTGCGGCAGGTTAGTCCCCCTGACTGATTCTGCAACTGCATCTCTGCCTTAGGGGAGCTCAAAGGAGGGCTCCATATAGGGGTCTGCCCACTTGCAAAATCAGGGCTGAGTCTGGTCTCCTCATTGCCTGAAGCAGTGACTGAATGACTTGTTAACCCCTTGTGATCGTGTTCTGTGTAAACAAACCAACAAACAAAAACCAGAATCTAATAAATTACTGATGCAAAATTATTCTTTGCAGATCAAGATCTCCAGTGCCCTAAAGAAAGAGCTTTGTAAACATGTATTGTAGTGTTGCAAGAGGCAAGGTTTCTTAGGGCGATACCTTTTATTGGACCAACTGTATAGATAGGATTGAGTTAGACAAGCTCTCGAATGTAAGACATTCTCCATCAGACCTGATGGAGAATGTCTTACATTCAAGAGCTTGTCTATCTCAACCCAAACTATACTGTTGGTTCAATGAAAGAGATCACTCTAAGAAATCCTTGCGTCCACATTTCTGTACCATCATGGCTGCAACACCACCATAACATTGCAGTGTTGGAAAAGATGCTTTGGGTTTTTGATACCTGGATTTGTAGTGCTAAAATGGTTAAATGGCACCATAGGAACAGGATGTGTTAGAGTATGAGGAATCAGGAAGATGATCCTCCAAAACACAGATGCATTTTGCAAACATAGTAATACAGGAAATATGAGTTAATCACCCATATGCAGTCTCAATGAAAGGTTAAGGTCCTAGGGCTCATGGTCCTGTCATCAGCATGCTATAGGGTGTTAGGCAAGTGATTTAATCTCTCTGTGCTTCAGCTTCTTTACCTGGAAAAACAGGAAATAAAATATACCTGGTTCTTTGCTACAAAGCAAGGACATAGAATGGGTCTCCTGGGTCATTACATCCAGCCCCTGATGATCATTATCCAAAGAGTGCAAAAAATTTTCCCTATCTTGCTCACCACAGCCACAGAACACCTTATGAAAACAAAATCAAACCCACTTTGCAGGAGGTGGCCACAGGTAAAACACAGGGAATAAAAGGGCACCAAGAATGAGTGCCCTGCCTCTTCAGCTTGATCTTTTGGTGAGAACTAAATAAATATAAAGCATTATTATTAAGTTTCAGTTTTTTCTAATATCTAGTTTTATTCAGAACCAAGCAGTGTTTATGAGGCCATGCCCTTTGCTAAATGTTGTGAGAGAGAGCAAGAGAGAAAGTAGAATCAAATTTAGCAAAGGGTTTGGTGCATGCAGCAGTCCTTCATATCACCTATTCATTTACATACTCTGCTCTTCCAGACTGTCAACTTAGTCTTCACTGTATCTTAGGGAGTAAAATTTGTTCAGCTGGGCACTGAGTGAGACCTCAGTCTATTTTTAAATGAATCTTTTGTCATCTTAATTGACTAATTAGTGAGAGAGACAGCAGGGATAGTTTAATAATTGAATGATCATAAAGAGCCTTATTTTTTTAAAGCATGGGTGTCAAACATATGGGCTAATGGAGAGCACCAGAAGTTGGACCCTTTGGCCCTGTTGGGCACTGCCATTGCAGACAAGTTTGGCTCATGGTTGCCAAACCCCACGTTCCTCCCACCCTTGCTGGACCCTGCCCCCATTACACCCTGGCCCCACGGTCCAGCCACCCCTGGACCCTGCACCCCCACTCCTGTTGCATTCTGTGCTCTGGCTGCCCCCAGATACTGCATGGAACCCTAAACTGGCAGACCCCACATGGCTGCTGCCACCATAGCAGCTAATGCGGCATCCCTCATACCCTGGGTAGGATCCAGCCTTCAAGAGGTCCCATGGCCTGGATTCAGCCTGGGGCCCCAGACGAGTTTTACACCCTGGTCCTAGTGGAGGTGTTTGCTAGATCTTCAATATAGTATTAGTTGCAAAGTTTCCTTAGAAACTGTGGTTCTAGACACTGGCAATGCACAGGGGGTGCACGCGGGTGCATGTGCACCCACTGAGATTGGCGGTGCACCCCCTGAGAGCACTGTCGGTGGCGCCTGTGGGTGGTCCCCACTTGCCACCCCACGCCACCACCGTGGCCGCCTGCGGGAGCTCCCTGCTCACTGCCGCTGCCACCTGTGGGCAGTTGCCATGCTGCCCCAGCTGCCCGGAGCACATGTCGTTCATAGTTCTCACATTAGAGAGACAGATACTGCATAATTTTGTATTCTGTGTGTTTTCAAATGATGCTGAAGTATTTTGCAAACTCTGCTTGCTACATGGAACGTTGAATATTATAAGTAGTTCCACTGAAAGTTCTGGTAGTCGGGGACTTGGTGGTGGCATGGGGTGGCAAGTGGTGACCGCCCACAGGCGCCACCGACAGTGCTTCTCTCAGGGGGTGCGCCGCCAATCTCAGTGGGTGCACATGCACCCGCGTGCACCCCCTGTGCATTGCCAGTGTCTAGAGCCACAGCTTAGCATGACAAGTGGACTGTAGTTCCACTGAAAGTTCTGGTAGTCGGGGACTTGTCATGCATGTTGGTATCAAACCCTAACTTTCTCCTAATGACCTTTGTAGACAAGATACTATAGCTTTTTTCATTTGAGTTTAATTTCAGTATAGCCCTTTCCTTCACTGTGTGTTGGGGTTACCTGTATGGTAAATTGTGCTCCCCTTCCAAGAGGGGAATTCTGTTGTTCTGTTCTCTTTTCACAATACCAACAGAGCTTATTTTTTAAACAGTAACTCTTTTAGCTTTCTCCTTTCTGACATTTATGAAAGAGCAGCATTGGTTTTATGATAAGAGTTCTGCTGTGAATTTTGGGAGCTTTGTAATAACTAATAATGCTGCTGCTGAAGGAAAATCACTTTTTCCCTTATGGTGAGAGGTTTACAGCACAGGTATTGCTGCCAGTCAACCTAACTGTAAGTAGGTACCCTGTTACTCAGGCTGGGAAATCAAAGGCAGCCAGACGGTATCACACCCTTTTGTGCCGTTGGCCATAGAGCCTGTTATACCTTAACCTTGTTAGTTAGGCTCTCACAGACCTTTGACCCCAATTCTAATATTATGAACATAGATACTAAATAGAAATAATAAATAGATGTATGACTTAACCTTATTGGCATGATATTCCAATTGTACCTTTTTTTTTAAATAATCAGTGTATTTACTGGATTTTGTTTCAGGATGAGAGCTTGTCAGGTGTCATCTACCTGCTACATTTTCCATGGCTAAAAACTGTCTTTCTCTTCCTACAATATCTCTGAAAAACTATTGAAACCCTAGGAAAATGGTGAGTTCCTTAATTTTTCTTTTTACAAAATTAGATAATAAAGTACAGTTTATGTTAAATAACCAAATTGTGGTTATTGTAAAGTTGATTGTGCAACACTTCATAATACTTTATTGTGAAGACTTTTACCTCTACCAGGTAAAAATGTCTGGTGGTAGTCAGTTTCTTGCTTAATCCTGGCATACTCAGCAGAAGTGCTTGTTTTTGGTTGTTTGAAATTTGAGGTTTCATTTGATAGCTGAAGTTTATAAAAGCTTAGCATGACAAGTTACTTATGGTTTATTTTTCAAACAATAAGTTTGAAATCTTCCAATAAGTTTGGAATCTCTCCAATCATTTTTAGAAAGTTATTTTTAGAATTATTTTTCTTCTGCAAGTGTCAAATTAATTTGATCCTAAATTTTATTTAGCTCTCTCTTGAAATAATTTAAGATAATTTAAAAGTATTTCAATATTACATATTAGGTATATTGTACTGCGTGTTGGATTTGGGCAGTGCCAAAATTGCAGTAGAGCCACAATTGTATCAGAATGTCACATCTCCAGAACATGTATTTTGACTTCAGTCCTCCCAACACTCTTACACAAGTTTAACTTTACACACAAACTCAGTGGGACTTCTCAAATGTACACAGGTAAGTATGTGCGTCCATTTTTGGTTTTATAACCACTGCTAAATTTAAATCTTTCATTCATATCTGTCAGAGCTTATTACATCTCCAAATTACATTAAATATTAGTGCAGTTTGTTAATTTTTCTCCATAATATAGTTAGATTTTAAAAAGCAATGCATTTATTTGAAGCCTGATACTGCATAGGACAATGTTTGACCTTAATTAACGAGAGAAATTGAGAACAATACTGAAGTTCTGAGAATGAGCTACATTAGTGGTACCCAACATTTCTGGGCTGTGAGCCAGATGAATTATGCGGGGTCAACCTGTGAAGTGATCCAGCATGT